TCATGGAAGCAGTACAAGCAGGGTGCTCCTCAGAGGGGACAATGACACACGGGCCCCATACTTTGTGCATGCTACCAGGAGGGCTGTCCTTGGGGAAAAGAAGACCCTTAGTGAGGTGGACTGCTGTGGTGGCTGCAGCTGGGGACTCAGGCAGACGTGAGGGTGGCCCAGAGCTGGCAGGGGTCCAATGTGCTGTATACGGGCTGCTCTCAGCCGTGTGGACTGAACAGCAGCACACGTGTAGGGCAGTGTGTTACCTGCCGGCCTGTTCAGTCGGGCTTGTGGGGTACAAGCTCAAATCCATGTCCTCCTGCATGTTTTCGCTGCTTGACTCTTCGCTTACTGTGAGGGATTTTCGGGTGTCCTGCCCGCCATCAGCCACTACTGTGTGGTCGCTGTGTGCTGGTCTGGCTGGCCTGCAGTGCCTTTCTCTCGGTGGGCGGTCTCCCCCCACCACCAGCAGTCTCCCCTCCGGCAGTCTCCCCTCCGGCAGTCTCCCTCGGGTGGTCTTCTTGGCAGGCAGTCCTTCTCTTGTGTCTTGGACTCGTTTCTGGCTGACCTTCCGTGGCCTCTTGAATCTCACCGCAGAGGCTAGTGCCCTGGTTTACTCCCTGGTGCTCCTCGTAGGACGTGCGCTCTGCCTTTCCCAGCCTCCTTTCCTCCCCTCACGCCTGGCTGTGGTTCGGGTGAGTTGACAGCACACAATCTCGTTCTGGGCAACAGCTTACTCACTTTGTTTTGTGACTTTGACAGCAGCCCCTCTGTGTCTGTACCCGGGTTGTTCCCTGGGTTTGCCTTCCCCCGTTTCTTCCTGTCCTGCCTTCCAGCTGTGTTCTGGGGGCAGATGGTGCCCTCAGGCAATGTTCCGGTTGACCTTTCTGGGAGTTGGTCCCTCGGATGGAGGAGGACAGGCACGGCTCACTCTGTCACCCAGGGGTGTGCTCACTTCAGATCTGAAGGGTGTCTAAAGGCTACTACCTTCTTTCTCATTTAGTTTCCTGAGGTTTCTCTCGTTGCAAAGTCATGCGTAATATAGTTAGGACAGCGTGAACTTCTGCCCCAGCCACTTTACAACACGAGTATTTTGCAAAGTTGCCAATCAATATATTTACATTTCTTCTAATAATACAAGATGGGTGTTCTGGTGGCTTAGGGGTAAGGAGTTGCACTGCAAACCTACAAGCAAGCGGGTCGAATCCACCAGCCGTTCTGAGGGAGAAAGACGGCAGTCTCCTCCCACGTGATTTCCAGCCTCTGAAAACCCGCTGGAGGGTCAGCAGTGAGTCTGTTCTGACTTGATGGCACATAACAGCAATAACTATTTCCATTAATAAAATAACAATAACAAGGGCAATGGGGAGAATGTAAAAAACAAACAAGTGTCTCAGAGGAAATGCAGCCGCAGTGCTCTAAGCAGCAAGAATGGTGCCAATTGGTCTTCCGTCCTCTGGGCATGTCGTCCAGGATGTTCAGTCCCGAGAAGGGCATCATGCTTGGGGTCCCCAGGCTGTCAGCAGCCCGATGGGGGACCCCTTCTCTGTAAAACTGGGACTTAAATGGAACAGACTTCCTATAGGAAACGCCCACACCGTGCTGCAATGAGAGCTGCTTTATAGACACTTCGCCGAGAACTATTTCTCTCCGGAAAAGTAAATGCACAGGATGTAATTAAAGCCGTTCTGTGTGTGTTGGCTGGGCCTGTCTTAAGTGCTTCACTAAACGGGCACCAGACATGGCAGTGAAGGCCAGCTTTGTCTGTGACTGCTGCCCGGGGTGTGAACTCACTGGGCGCAGGGCATTCTCTGGCTTCCTGGATTCAGAAATATCACTGTGTGTGGCCCTCACTGTTCCTGACCCGAGGGACAGCTGCAGGGGAGGCAGCAGCGTGACACTGAGGCCCAGGCACAAAGGCTTTTGCCTCTGGTTTATGATCTTTGAGACAAAAAAAAATTAATATTATTAAATTATTTTATTATTATATAATATCTGGAAAAGATATTATTATACTATAATATTATATTATTAAATACATTATAAACTCCTATTTGCTCTGGAAGCCAGGAGCCAGGGAGGAAGGCATGGCCTGGGTCCTTTGCCGGTAGAGTCCAGCTCAGGCTTGTCCCGGCGTCTGCACCATTCCGCTCCCTTCCTAGTTCCCAAGGTGAGGCTTGGAGCTTCCCACAGCACTCAGCGCTAAGCCTGGGTGGGGGCCGCCCTGCAGTCCCCATCTCATTGAGGGTCTTCCTCTTTTTCGCCCACCGAGCATTATGTCCTCCTCCAGGGCCTGGCCCCCTGATGACACGTCCAAAGGATGAGCAGTCTCGCTGTCTTTGTCTCCGGAGCATGCCGGCTGCACTTCCTCCATGACAGTTCGAGGTGCCCTTGAAAAGCTGCCATGGGGTCATGAGGTGCAAGCACTATGATGCATTTAGGGGGCCAGCTCGCCCCACCATGAGCCAGGGGTGTGTCCTCTCAGGAGGACAGGACTCCCAGAGCAGCCTGGGAGCTGGCACTCCAGGGCCACAAGCAGCCCTGCCCAGGCCAGCTTCACACCTTGGTGTCGGGGCTGCCAACAAAGCGACTCTCTGCTGCCAGCCTCTGAGGACAAGAAGTCAGTCGGCTGAGGCACTAGCCTGGCTGCAGCCGCTCATGAGAATCACCAGTGCTTTGAAAGCTCCTGGCCCCAGACCACGGCTGGACACGGGCACTGGACTCAGGGTTGGTGGCCCAGGATTGTGTGGTTTCCTTGGTGATAACAATAAACATAAAGACATTCATCAACTTCACAATTCTCACACACATTACTCAGTGCCATTGGTGGTATTCAGGTGCCCTGTTCACAGTCCTTTTCTAGATCATTCTGCCACCATTGTAGGGAGTTTTAAAAGCCCCCAAGTATCTGTGATGTACAGGTAGATGGAGAGTCAGTGAGCGGGGTGCCCCCTCCACCACTGGGCATCTCGTGTATCCCCAGCCCCCGTGCCATGCAGTGTCCCGAGCTCTCCCATCGTGCCCCTCCTATGCAATGTGCTGTGTGTGCCCCATCATCCTGTGTCCTCCCATGTCCCTTGCTGTGTGGTTTCCAGTGTCTCCTGTCCTGCTGTGTAGCACCCCGAGTCCCTGTTCCCTGCCAGCAGTGCCTGCTGTTATCTGGTCGCAGCACCTGCAGGCCCCACCAGATCCTTCCAGGACCACACCCGGGTGCCATCTGAGGCCCCTCCACTCTAGCCTCCTCCTCCTGAGATAAGAGCCCCTGAAAATGCTGTGCTTTGACCTCTAACTTCACAGGGGAGGTGTAGAGAAGCATGATCAACTCCTCAAATTCGATCAACTGCTCAAATTCGATTGCTGTGAGTTAGACATACTCCTCCGTCCAGGCTTCTCCCTGGTTCTCCCCTCAGCAGTGTTCCCCACAGCTTTCTACTCTGCTGGGCTTGAGGACTGTTGCAGTGGTTACTTAGACTGTACTCAGGGAGCAACAGGCAGTGATGCTTCCTCAGCAATGGCTCAGGACATAATTCTTCTCAATTTCTTCTTAGCTGTGGCTCCAGGCAGGCTTCTCGCTAATCCTTCAGTCCTGTAAGCCACTCAGGCCCCTTACCTGTTTGGGCAAATATTGCTGAGCTTTCTCACTCTGTGTGTCCCCATCTTTTCTCGGGGACACTGAGGTCTATTGTCTGCACCTAAGGATGGCTGACTTTAAGCTTAGCGATGAGAGTGTGGACTCCCTTAACGTCTCCCTACACCTTATTCACAAGCTGTCCAGTCCTCTGGGTGGACCACAAACACACACTTACTAAGCTTCGCTTAATCATTTGGCACCACACTTATGGCTGGAGGGTCAGAGCCTTGGGGGGGCATATCTTCTGACACAACATGTTCACAAAACAAACTGTTCTGCCTCCTGCTGTGGCGAGCAGTAACTGGAGTCTAAAAAGTTGTTGCGTGGCCACCTAAGATACAACTATTGGTCTCTCTCCTATGAAAACAAAGAACAGTCAAGAAAATCGAGGACACGGGAATAATTAGTTCAATGGAGTAAGAGACAACTTGAACCTCAGCTTCCATGACCCTGAGACCAGAACTAAACAGTGCCCCAATATCACTGCTGAGGTTTCTGAGAGGGACCACAACAGAAGGTCCTGAAAGAGGAGAAAAAGGTAGGGCAAAATGTAAAATCTTAAGACCAGCGTTACGGGTCTCAGAGACTTGTGAACACTAGCCCCAATCCCAGACGATAGCTCTGAGAGACCCTTCAGGCCTGGGACAGGGGTTCAAATTTCCAACAATAGACAGGTCTGTAAGGTGAACAGTAACATCGGGGAGGTGCATATTCCTTAGAAAACTCAACCCTTCCATGTCAAAAGGCATCATTGTCCAGGGATGAAGCTCAGAAAGCAGGAAGGGTTAGAAAAGAAGGACTCATGGAAATTGGAAGCCCAGGAATTGGGAAGAGCGCTGTTACACTGTGGGGACTACAGTGATGGTATAAACCCCCAGGTGTATGATTTGTTGAAACTGAAAATGGACTTGTCACACAAACCATTCAATGCCTATTTTAAAGTGCTGTGGGAGCTCTGGCAGCCTAGTGGCAAGAAGCTGCACTGCAATCCTAGAGGTACGCGGTTCAAATCCACCAGATGCTCTGCTGGAGAGAAAGGGCAATCTCTTGTACCAGTCAGATCCGATTTGAGCACACACACACACACACACACACACACACACACACACACACACGCACGCACACACACACACAGGATACATCTACTCCTTTCCATTCCAGGGGTGCATGCAGGGCTGAGCCAAGGTAACCCAGACTTGAGAACCCAACTCAGTAAACATAGTTTGCCAGTGTTGCAGGATTCGAACTTGGACGTGTCCAGGGCAAGTTATCTGACGTTTGGTTCCTTAATTTATCTTCCCAGAGAACAAACACTTGGGGTTGCAGGACACTGAGCTGGTTACCCGCAGCATCTCCACCTTGGAAACCACGCCCGGGGATGTCCCAGGAGTCCCGGTGGGAGGCGCCCGGGAGACGCCCCGCCCACGCCCCGCCCACAACCGGGCAAGTTTGCCAGGACTCCCACTCTTCCTCGGGCACAGGGCAGCTGCTGGAGCCTCCACGGCTCTCAGCCAGTCCTCGTCCCCGGACCCAGCGCCTCCGACAACCTCAGCTCCGCACGCCGCATGCGGGCCACGCCGCAGTCTCCCGCCTGAGGCCGGCCGCGAGCTCGCCGGACACCGGAAGCCCGCCTGGCGGAAGTCACGCTTCCACGCCCCGCCCCAGCGGCACCGGAAGTAGCCCCACTCGTTTCCGGTCCGTCGATGGACGGCGCGCCGGGGGCCGCAGAGGCATGAGCTCCGGGTTCCCCGCGGCCGGCGCGCCCATGGCGGAGGACGGAGCGCCCACGGCGGAGGGAGGCGGCCCCGACGGGCGCCCCGGGGCGGGTCTGCCGGCCGGGGCCGGGCTGGGGCCCGCAGGTAACGTGCGCCGGCCGCGGGGCTGGAGTCGGGGGCGCAGCTGCCCTGGCGAGCCGCCCTCGGGCCGGGTTTCTCTCCTGCCGGCTTGTCCCCCAGTGCGTTCGCGATGCGGGAGTGCTGGCCCCGGAGTGTGGACGTCACACTGAGTGCCCCCGGCTCGGGGCACCGGGCAGGCAGCCCTCCGCGGCCGAGGGAGGGACAGACGGGGACAGCGATGAGACAGCGGCGCAGCCCGTGACACAGCATGGCCAGCGCTCCAGCGAGGAGGGGCCCGGGCCGAGTGGGTAACCAGAAAGGCTCACGCCCCCTCCCACGGTAGCCTTGAGTCTCCCTCCTGAAATAGGCCCCCAGTGCCCCTGAGTGGCCGCTGGCACCTCTGGACTGACTGTGGCACAACAGAGGCTGGAGGACTTCAGGGTCGGGGAGCACGGGTGGACAGCTGTGTGGGCAGCGCGCCTCCCTCTGCTTATGCAGACTCTTTCTAAAGTCTTTGCAGGAGCTTAGGGGTGGAGGGGACAGTGCCCACCTTGTCTGATGGCAGAGCTTGTCCCGAGCAGCCCACAGCCAGATGCGTTGTGTGCCCGGGATTGCATATACTCACCTGGTCCCTGTCAGAGCCTCAACCCTGGGTTGACACATTCAATGAGAGACCAGAGGAAATAATCCCTGTGTCATCTGCCCATCTGGTCAGTCAGCACAAGTGGTTGACCAGAATCCATTGCAGACACAGCCCCTACCAGCCGAGATTTGGTGATTGACATTGGCTTTGACACCACAGTCAGGACCTTTAAGAGTCCAGCCGTCATGCCCTGTAGATGGAGGTGGAGTGTGACAGGTGTTAGAGAGACCAGGTGTCTCCTTACAAGGAGGGCAGAGGGTTGCCCTTTGGGGGAAAGTCTGTCTTTGCCCAAACGGGGGCTGCTGTCTGAACCCATGTGTTTAATGTGTTGTGAAAACGAGGGGCACAGAGAGGTCCATTAAGCCTGTGAGCTGCGTTGGGCAGTCAGTTGTCAGAGGCCCAGACGCCAAGCTCAACCCGCTGCCAGGGAGGTGATTCCGTCCTGTAGGACACAGTAGATCTGCCACGCTGGGTTTCCACAGGTAGAATCGGTTATATGCAGTCCTTCTGGAAACCCACCGCCTCAGCGTCCTTCCTCAGAGTGGTCGCTGAGTTAACGGCTGCCATGTTGGTTGGCCATTGAGTTCTTTGACCACTGTACCACCAGGGGAGAAGCTGGTGGGAAGAACAGATCGGAAGTTGTCTTTGGAGCTGGAACTTTGGCATTGAGCTGGACCAGGAAGTGGGATGAGATGAAGGTAGCAGAGGGAACCCCAGAGAACGGTGCGGGACCCCCTGACTCCTCCTTACCTGCTTGTTAGTGCTGTGCCTTGTGTCCTACCTCTCCACACTCTGGACTTCCGCCTGCAGTCAGGTGCCGTAAGGCACCCAGAAGAAAGTGCAGCACTCCTGAAAACGCTGCCATGGAGGTCCTGTCGGGCAGAGCCCTCCTCTGGCACACCTGGTGTCACTGGAGTCGCTGTTCATGCAACAGAAAGGGGGTGGGACTGGGATATGGCTGACGAGGACCCAGGGGACCACGTGGATGAGGGAATGCCCAGGCTTACTGTCTGCCTGTCCATCTGCTGGCATCTGCACGTACGGCCCCTGGCTAGTGCATCTTTGCTGTCCTGTCCACCTGGCTGTTCCCTTCACCTACCTTTGCTGATAGACTGCCAGACCTGGCCGCCAGGGATGTCTGTTGCCCAGGGTGTGTGCAGTAGGTCCTCACAGAGATGTGAGAGTAACAGGTAGCTTTAGTGCCCGGAGAGGGTCCACTGTGGAGTGTCGAGGTTTTAACTGCTTGGAGCCACGGGGATTGGGGACTTGATGAGTAATAGTAAGTTTTATTGTTCATTACTTACTGTTCTTTGTTGTTGTTGTATACCATAGAGGACCCTTCGGCAGGTTTTCAGAGACAGTTAATCACATGGGAGGAGATTGCCCACCCTTCTGCTGCCACTGCCCTTTGTTGTTGTTATGTGCTATAGAGTCGCTGTGACTCAGCGACCCTGTGTACAGTAACCCTCAAACCTGCTCTGTCCTGTGCCAACTTTACTCTCTGACACACCCACCCTGATTACCCCAGTCACTGAATCAGTCCATTTCATCGAGGATCTTCCTCTCTTGCGCTGTCCCTCCACCCTCCCAAGCATGATGTTCCTCTTTAAGGACTGGTTCCTCTCTGCAGCCTCAGAATCCTTGCCTGCAGCAAGCAGCCTGGCTTCACCCTTTCTAGGATGAACCTGTTTGTTCTCCTAGTAGTCCATTGTGTGTATATTCAACACTCTTCTCCAGCACCACAGCTCAAAGGAGTCAATTCTTTATCATTTTTAGTCATTGTCCAGCTCTTATATGCTTAGCAAGCAATTGTGAAGACTGTGGCCTGGATCAGACTCACCTTAGTATCCAAACTGATGTCCATGCTCTTCAGCACTCTGGAGAAGTCCCTGACAGCAGATTTTCCTAATGCAATTCTTCTTTGATATTCTGGTGCCTGTAACTTTAAAACATTTGGTAACTCCTCACTGGAGTATATGGTGTGGTTTCCCATCCATTCCAGTCTTCATAGTTTCTCACTTCTATGCTTGTTCCTGCGTTTGTTCTTAGCTCTCTGGTTGAGTCAGTCCCCACTGGATGGCAGACCTGGGCACAGCAGCACCGGCCTCATCATGTTCCAGGTCAGACTTTGGTATCTGTAGGAGTTTCGCTCACTGAGTTTTCACAGTCACCAGTCCCTTCTTCCTAGTTTCTTAGTTTGGAAGCACCGTGCAGGCTTCCACTCCAGGAGGTGCCCTGGCCAGGAAGTGAACCCGGGCTCCCACCTGAAAGGAAGAATTACACCACTGGGTCACCACTGTACCTACCTTCGTTTTGTGCCATACATCTTTACATTGAGGTTTAATTTACAAAGTGTCCCATCTGATGCATAGCAAGTGTTTAGATGGACACCCAGTAGCCATTAGCCAGGCCAGTGTGGCTGGGAGCGTGCACAAAGCAGCGTTTGCTAGGCTGTGGGATTTGCCAGTGTCTTTGTGGTGGAGGAGAAGGCTGTGTGATTTTCCTGATACTAACACGTCTGTTTTTAGGATAAAAGAGTATTTGTAAGCTGGATAGATTTTTTATTTTTGGGGGGGAGGCGTGCATATATTTCCCTTCTGTATTAAGGGAGTTTGGATCACACCCCTCACCTGCCCAGAGTAGTTTCTGTCGAGTTGGTGCCTGCACGAAGCTGATTTTGTCAGGGCTACGCTGGAAATTTATAGAACATGTTCTGTGTAGTAGCTGTGGTGTCACCTATGACTCATGGAAACCCTGTGAGCGGCAGATAGGAACCGTGCCCTACCCCTGCCATCCTCCTCTCAGCCTCTGACGCGCTCGAACCCAGCAGTCACTGTGCCGTTCCACCTTGTTGAGGCGCTCTCTCTCTGATTCTCCACCTTCCTTAGCATGAAATCTTTTTCCAAGGACCATTCCATCCTGACAGCCTCTGAGAGGACATTTCACCATCTTTGCCTCTAAGAAGCATCTTGGTTTCCTCCAGGACAGGGTGGTGGTGGTTCTAGCAAGCTCTTCTCCAGCATCACAATTCAAAGGCATCCATTCTTTGGTTTTCCTTATTCATCGTCAAACTTTCAGATATGTAGGAAGCTGTTGAAAATACCCTAACTTGGATCAGCTGCACTTTAGCCTTTAAACTGAGATCTTTAGAACTTTGGCAAAGCCTCGGCAGCAGATTTTCCCAGTGCAGCACAGCTTTTAATTTCTTGAGTGCTGGTACCAAGGGTGTTGATTGTGGAGCCAAGTAAGACGAAATCCTTGACGCCAGTCTTTCCTCCGTCTGTCCTGATGGAGACTGTTCCCAAGTGTTGAGAGTTTCTGTTTTCCTGACGTTGGGATGTAAGCCGTGCTGAAGGTATTGGGATGATGGGTTTCCTGCGAGTGGGTGGCTGCTGCTGTGGCGTCCTGCTGGCTGGCTCTGGCGGGTCCCGAGGTGACAGTGGCCCTCTCTTCAGTGCAGGTCCCAATCTGAAGGAGTGGCTGAGGGAGCAGTTTTGTGACCACCCTCTGGAACAGTGTGAAGACACGCGGCTCCATGACGCAGCCTATGTCGGGGACCTGCCGACCCTCAGAACCCTGCTGCAGGAGGAGAGCTATCGGAGGTGAAGCACCCAGACTGAGGCCTCCGTGTCCTCTTGTCAGACCCTCCCCGTCCGCGATGGGTGGGATGTGCATGGAGTCGTGTGACCACAATCCCGTCCAGCTTTGTCCGTGTTTTGTTGACAATGGGTGGCAGTGGGTTGCAAGGAAACGCCTGCGTCAGCGTGGCAACGGGTGCCACCATCTTCCCGAGGTGGGTGACCGTGGAGCACGGTTCTCATCTGGCGTCCCAGCCTTGTTTGAGCAGAGCAGATAATCAGTGTGGGAACAAAGAACCAGAAGGGATTGTCCTGTGAAGACCGCAGACAGCTTAGCCCCAAAGATCTCGTGTGCAGGACTGGAGCACAGAGAAACCCTTAAACGTGCAGACGCTGAAGTAGACCAGAATTCAGCTAGGTCTTCGGCCAGGTCCTCCTCCTGCTGCCTGTCTTTGCAATACAGGTTGAGTGGTCCCAGTTCCAGATGGTGTTTTTGGTGGTTGTGTATTTCTTGGGTCTCTGGGTGTGGTGTAAATGGCTTGTGTTTGGCTGCTTATCAGAGGGTTGCTGGCTGAATCCACTCGCTGGTGTTACGGTGTTGGCAGTCTGCTTCCCTGAGATTAAACCCAAACTCTCTGCCTTCGGGTGGTGTCCATCTTGTGGCGACCCTCCGTCAGTGTCCTCGGCTGTAGATGTGTACAAGGACATTGCCCGGGCTTCCTCCCACAGAGTGGCTGGCGAGTTAGAACAGCTGACCTTTGGGTCCTCAGCCCATCGTGTATCTGAGCCCCCAGGACTGAATGATGACAGCCACTGGAATCCTCTTCTGCTCTGGTGCATGTTGGGTGCTTGGGTCAGCGTCCACTCTGGCAGCTGCCTTGTTTTATGCCCCATTGAAAAGGAGTCTTGGAATGTTCCCTGGCCTTCCTGGCCACTGGAAGCCAGGGTCTCGCTGATGGGGAACCTCAGGACATGTGTGAGGCGACATTGCTGCCTTGGCCTCAGCTGCAGCTGGAAGTGGTTAACGATCCTCAATGGGCTGGCTGCCTGGTGGCTGAGCGGGTCAGGGCTGGGACGATCATCGTGGGCTGTGTGTCTGTCTCTCTGTCTGACGATCACGTTGACTCAGCGCCCGAGCTGCCCGCTGCTGCTGTGGGCCAGAAGGGGCCGTGTGGGTGAAGGATGCTTGCTAACCTGGCCCAGTGAGGAGGCTGCTGGCAGAGGCCTCAGGCCCTCTCAGATGCTTGCTGGTGACCTCAGGCCCCCTCCTGTCTCCCCGCACAGGCCCTCCTGTCCTTTATAGAGAGCCCTCCACTTCTGCAGGGCTCGGCTCTGGTTTTGGTGTCTGATTTGTGCCCTGGATTGTCACCAGTGAGAAACCAAGTGGAAACCTGCTCTCTGTCTGTGCGTCCACTGTCCTGACTCGGGTGTGGGGTGGCAGAGCCTCAGGCTGTGTCTCCGCCCCTCACAGCCCCCTCTGTTCTCTGCAGCCGCATCAATGAGAAGTCTGTCTGGTGCTGTGGCTGGTTGCCCTGCACACCCCTGCGCATTGCAGCCACTGCTGGTCACGGCAACTGCGTGGACTTCCTCATTCGCAAGGGGGCGGAAGTGGACCTGGTGGATGTCAAGGGCCAGACTGCCCTGTATGTGGCCGTGGTGAATGGGCACCTGGAGAGCGCCCAGATCCTTCTGGAAGCAGGTGCAGACCCCAATGGCAGCCGGCACCACCGCAGCACCCCCGTGTACCATGCGGCGCGTGTGGGCAGGGCCGACATCCTGAAGGCACTCATCAGGTCAGTGCACCCACGCTGCGGCCCTCGTGCCCTGACGGGCCTTTGCTGCTTCTTGCTCCTCCAGGAATCTGTCCAGTAGTCATTTCAGAGAGCTGTTTGCTGGCTCTAGGGATAGTTCTTGTATTTTTTATTGATTTATTTTTATCTCCTTTTCTGCTTTATTTAATGTTACATTGCTATGCTTTTAGCTTTTTGAGTTAAAAGCTTAGTTCATTTGTTTCCTCATTACCAACCTAACTTTGCAAGACTATGAATTTTCCTTTGAGAATAGTTTTGGCCTGTCCTCTTGGTTGTTATTTTTGCAGTAACTGTGATTGACGTCTATTTTCTCCTTGTCCTTTCAGTTTGGGAGGAGGAAGTTTTAGTGGAATTTTGTGTTGTATTTTTATGTGTCTGATTGTGTGTAGAGGATCTGTCATCTAGCGTACGTTTTGACAGTTCTTTGAGTTTTTGTTGTCATTTCTTAATATCTGAACATACTGTTGTTGCTTGAGACAAAACACGTGACCATGGGCGTTTCATTTGAGGGTTAATAAATAAGCCTAAAGCATCTTACTCAGCTCACGTGGGCTTGCTGTCATTAGCTCTCGGGTTTGGGTTCTGTTACAGCTGACATTACGGCCACAGCTGATCTTAGCTCTGCTTCTGCCATCTTTCTGATTCTTATGTTTGCTTGATTTCACCTCTCCGTTCCATGAGCTCTGTTTCTGCTTTCCACAGTGGCTTTCTTGTACGTTTTGTCCCCTCCCTGACCCTGGTCTCATGGCAGGCGCAAGGTGAGCCGCCTTTCCACACACAGTGTGCATGCACCCTTCACTCTGGCTCGTCCTCCAGTGTCTCCCCACCACTGGTGGAAGCGGTCCTGGTGACAAGTATGGGGCTGTCTTTGAGCTGTGGTGCTGGAGAAGTCTTGAACATACCATGGACTGTTAAGGAAAGAAATGGGTCTGTGTTGGAGAGAGTGAAACCAAGTTTTTCCTTGAAGGCTAGGATTTTGATGCTCTCTCTCACATACTTTGGGCACGTGGCCAGGAGGGACTGGTCCTTGGAGAAGGACATCATGCTCGGAAGGGTGGAGGGACGGCGCAGGAGAGGAAGACCCTCTCATGAGTTGGATTGATGCAGGAGCTGGCACAGTGGGGATAGGTGTGTCGGAGTCAGTGAGACAAGCTCTGAACAGAGCAGGCTTCAGAGCTGCTGTCAGCGTGGTCGCCGTGGGTCACTGGTGACTTGGCTGCATGTGACAGCCACCACCAACACCTAGAAGACCGTGGTGCGAATCTTCCCACTGCACTGCGGGAATAGGAAAGATTTGCAGCCTCAGACACCTGGAGAGTGTCTGTGGGCCAGTCTGAGCCACAGCAGGAGATGTATGTCTGTTCTCTGTCTCTTGTATAAGATCTCATAATAGTGAAGAGATGAGACTGTAAACCACTTCAGCTTACTTGGCTGCACAGTCAACACTCTTGGTACCAGCAACGAGGAAATCAAAACACGAATTGCATTGGGAAAGTCAGCTCTCAGGCACATTTCAAGTACTGAAGAGCAACAATGTCAGTCTGGAGACTAAGGTGTGCCTGATCCAGGCCATGTCTTCACAATTACGTGCTATGCATCAGAGAACTGTACAGTGACTAGGGAGGATAGAAGGCGAATTGATGCCTTTGAGCTGTGGTGCTGGAGAAGAGTGCTGAATACATCATGGACTGCCAGGAGAACAAACAGGAGAGTGAAACCAGAATGCTTGTTGGAGGCAAGGATTTTGAAGCTCTGTCTGACATACTTTGTACATGTTGTAAGGAGGGATCAGTCCTTGGAGAGGGATCAGTGCTTGGGGGCGGGGTGGAGGGACAGCACAGGAGAGGAAGACCCTGGATGAGATGGATTGACTGACTGACTGGGTCATGGAGGTAGGTGTGTCAGAGACAATGAAGTTGGCTCAGGCTAGAGCAGGGTTCAGAGTTCTTTTACATAGGGTTGCTATGAGTCGCTGGCAACTTGCTGGCACATAACAACACAAGATATTCAGACTCGGCTTGTTCCTTGCCTGTCCCAGCCTCAGGACACGTTACTTCTCACAGGAGTCCTGGCTTCTCCTAGTGGAGAGTGCTAGTTAGACTCACGGTGTTGACAGTAGGAGTCCTTGTCGCAGGGAGTGGCTGTGACCAGCCCTCATTGGATGGATCTCAGGCTGCACAAACACCAGGCTGTGTCTCTGCCTCTCTCTCTGGGTGTGGAGTGCCCGAGCTCACCTCACACACCACATCCAGTCTAACCACAGCATCTGCCCTTGATCTCGCCCCGTGGCGGGGGGACCTTGGTCTCCTTTGCCTTAATGTGAGCACCTCTTCCTGCCACCGTCTGCCTCCCTCAGAGCTGGCGGGGCCCCATGGTGGGCAGCCATCCTCCAGGAGCGACAGCCTTCCTCCACGGGCACCCTCCTGGGGCAGTCCTCAAACGGGGCTGAGGGGACCACTCTGGGGGCTGGGAGGTCCACGGCAGGGACTGAAGGGCCCATGCCAGGGACTGAGGGGTCCATTCCAGGGACTGGCATCCACACAGACTCCTGGTGATCCCAGGGGTGCCTTTCTTGCCATCTCCCCTGTGCCCCAGCCCAGTGTCACGCCGCTGTGCATTTCCTTTTGTTGAGGGTCTCCTCTGATTTACCACATGTAATGTCCTGCAGGGACTGAGTATCTGCCCAAAGTACGTGAAATGAGGCATCACCATCCCCTTTTCTGAGGAGCACTCCGGTGTCACATCTCCCTTGACAGTCGGAATCCTCCTGGAGGCTCCGAGGACGCTGCTGCGTGGACCTGCTGGCGTCTTTGTTTTGTTTTGCTTTTAGTTTTCTGAGATTGCATCGTTATGTAAATTTGTTTTACTACATGACATGTTGGAGCAAGGATGTCAGTTTAGAGACTAAGGTGCACCTGATTGAAGCCATGGTCATTTCCGTCACCTACTGTGCACCTGAAAGTTGAACGGTGAATAAGGATGTCAGAGGAAGTATTGATGCCTGTGAATTGTTGTGGTGGAGAACAGTAGCGAATACCCCATGGACTGCCAAAAGAGCAGGCCAAGATGCCTTGGAGAGAATGCAGCCCTGGCCCTCAGAGGCAAAGACGGCAAAACTTGTCTCATTTACTTTGGCCTTGTTAAGAAGGAGCGGACGTTGGCAGAAGACAGCGTGCTGGGAAAGATGGTCAGAGAAGGAGAGGAAGGAGCGCAAACAGAGTGTCGCAGTGCCTGTCGCAGTGGGCAACAGTATATTAGAGACACCGATGGTGGCCCAGGATGGGGTAGGCTCGGGTCTGCTCGTGGGAGAGTTAGGAGTTCCTGTCCGCTGGACTTGATGGCTCTGAGCCACAATAACATGAAACGTCGGCTTGGTTGGAAAGTCAGAGCTGTGACACAGGCGCGCTAAGGGAAGTGCGGTTCTGTCTGTGTCTCCTCCTCCTCTCGTCTCCCTCCCTCATCTCCATCGGCATCTAACTGTTCTACTGTTGGGCAGTGAGCAGACCCACATGTGGCCTGGGAGAGTGCGGTACTGCTGCCGCCGGGGAGCGCTGGCGTGGCCGGTGGGAAGCTGCGCTGCTGACCCGAAGGCGCCTCTTCTCTGGTGCTTCAAATGCCCCAGTCATTGTGCGGGAGGCGCATGGACACTCTCCCGCCGTGCGAGTCCCAGCCTCCTGAAAACTGGCTGGGCGGTCAGCCGTGAGTCCGTGCCGACTCAGTGGCCATGACGGAGAGGAGGAAGAGGAGGAGGCAGGAGGCAGGGATGGTGGGGGTATCATTTCTGCAGCGGTTTGGATGTTTGGTCTTGGACAGGAGTGGGGACATCTCTGGGGTCCCCTCACAGCGCCCTGTGCCCTCTGGGCTGTGAGGTGTGAGTGTTGGATGGTGGACAGCTGTGTGTGGATGTCTTTGTAATGTCCGTTCCCCTCGCGGCGCCTGTGCCCTCTGGTTGTGAGATGGTGGGTGTGTGATGGTGGACAACAGAGGTCATCTCTGGCCGATCCTTAGGCTGGGATGGGATTCTAGTTGACAGGAGTCATTTGAGCATCAGGTCTAACGGCTTATGTCTACCCCTCAGGTACGGGGCCGATGTGGACGTGAACCACCAGCTGACCCCCGAGGTGCAGCCGCCTTTCTCTCGGCGCCTCACCTCCCTGGTGGTCTGCCCGCTGTACATCAGCGCCGCCTACCACAACCTGCAGTGCTTCAAGCTGCTCCTGCAGGCGGGCGCCAACCCCGACTTCAACTGCAGCGGCCCTGTCAACACGGAGGCCTTCTGCCGGGGCTCCCCGGGCTGCGTCCTGGACGCCGTCCTGCGTCACGGCTGCGAGGCCGCCTTTGTGAGCCTGCTGGTGGAGTTTGGAGCCAACCTGAGCCTGGTCAAGTGGGAGTCCCTGGGCCCAGAGGCGCGGGGCCGGAGGAAGGTGGATCCTGAGGCCCTGCAGGTCTTTAAGGAAGCGAGAAGTAAGGGGGCTCTGACTGGCCGTGGGTGTCGAGGGGTCAAGAGTTGTTGCTGGGGGTGGGAAGCGACTCACAGCTGACCCCTCAGCAGATCTCCAGGGCTGTAAGTTGTGCAGGAGGAGATGGCCTTTCTTCCTTGGAGCGACGGCTGGATTTGAACCTGCCGGGGGTGGGGCTCAGCCTGTGGGTAGCATGCGGAGCTCCCATGTGGAACGCAGACTGTGTGTCAGAGGGGTTTAGGTTTACAGGAGGGTCGCGTGCAGAGTTCTTCACTGCGGGGGTGCTACTCCTCCCTCCAGCCCGAGCCTCTCCGGGGGTCCCGCCGTTACTCCCCTCTCGCACCTGTGTGCGTGATGATGGAGGAGTGACGTGGTGATTGTCGTGGGGCTCCCGGGACACGCGTTACTGAGCTTCGGGAAGGAAGGACCCTGAGCAGACGCCTGGTGACAGAGCGGGGAGCCGCCTGCCCCCTCTCTGACCAGGAAGTTGGCAGGGAGAGGTGGTGGGGGTTTGCCTGTGGTCCCTGCCAGCTCGTTGGAGGTGAAGAATGATTTGTGTCTCTCCCCTACCCTCCAGGTGCCCCCAGGCCGCTGCTTGGCTTGTGCCGTGTGACAGTCAGACAGGCACTCGGCAAGTCCCGGCTCCCGCTGATCCCCGCGCTGCCGCTGCCGGACCCCATAAAGAAGTTCCTTCTCCACGAGTAGGGGCCATGCTGACGTGCCCCGCGCTGCCTCTGCTGGACCCCATAAAGAAGTTCCTTCTCCACGAGTAGAAGACATGCTGTGCTGATGGCGGACGTGAGGGAAGACCCCTCCGCGCCCTGGAGCCCGCAGCCCGTCCCGCAGGGACCGCCCTTCTGTAGCTGAGAGGAAGGACCGTGTCCCCGCGTGTGGATTCCTCCTCAGGAGCCGCGGCAGTGGGCAGACCGGGCCTGGACGAAGCTGAGGCCTGCTTTTCGCAGTCACCCGCACTGAGGGAGTGGGCCTGGCGGTGCACGCCGGGGGTGGTGGAGGGAGCGGCCCCCATTTCCCCAGCAGGGAGGCCCCCGGCACTCTGCAGAACTGGTCTCTGTGGACTTCTGCTTGCAGGCCCTTTGCTGCAATCACACCCACTCCCTCGTGATGAGCAGGGCTTTGACCAGGAGCTCAGGGAGAGGAACTCAGGGACTGGCCCCTGTCAGGACTTGGACTGTGAGGTGACCCGTGTTAACACACCCTGCTGCTGTGTTAGGCTGCTGGGATCAGGGGCTTCATGCAGGCTGTCTTCTTGGCCACATATCTCAGCTGCTTTGTGAGTCTGTGAGCTCACAAGTCCCATGTGGACGCCCACCATCTCCCCTGCCCTACTGTCCACTGTGGTGAGTGTCTGCAGACGTGGAGCCCTGAGCTGGGCGCATGCCCACCCACCATCTCCCTTGCTCTGCCGTCCACCGTGGGCAGCGTCTCTAGGTTCAGGTCCCCTGTGGAGGTCCTGAGCTGGGCCCATGCCCATCCACCATCTCCCCTGCCCTGCCGTCCACTGTGGGGAGCATCTGCAGACGTGGAGGTCCTGAGCTGGGCCAATGCCCATCCACCATATCTGCTCTGCCATCCACCGTGGGGAGTGTCTCTAGGCTCAAAAGGTCCTGTGTCTGCCGACGGGCTCCCAGGCTCTGTTGCCTGGCATCTTCTGGGCTCTGCTGTCAAACATGCTTGGTCTTTGAAGGCCCGCACCAAGCTAGCCAGTAAATGCCTGCTGCAGGACCAGGTGGTCCTCAGCGCTCACTGCCAGCCCTCTGGGACAGCCTTCTGTCCGCCTGCCACCCTTTGCCCTCCCGCAGGTCTGTTGGCGGGATTGATGGCTCTTCACTCCTTCTTTTGGGCATAAATCTCTGCTGTGCTCTGGAAATCAGGAAGAGGCCAGCAGAAAGCAAGAGATGGACTGGCCTGGAAGGTGGGGTCCTGGTCGCCCTCAGCTGTGCGGCCATGAGTGGAATCCCTGCTTCCACTTCACCTGCTTCGAGCAGTGCAGGTCTCCACCCTGTGGCTTCCTGTGAGTGAGGGTGCTCTCGATATAGCGCCGCATTCCTGCAGGAGCTGGCTGTGTGACCAGACCAGTGGTGTAGCCCTTCCCCTCCAGTGGACACTGCAGTTCTGGCCTTCCCTCCTGCTCATAGACTGTGCACCCAGGGGCCCAGATGAGCCTTGTATCTGTGCACAGAGGTCTGGGGGCTGGCCAGGCATTCAGGCAGCTTGAGGGAAGACTGGACACACAGCTGCCATACACTCTGAGCTGTGAAGCAGTGTGGCTGTGGGCTCACACCTGGGCCTGGGCCTGGGCTCCTCCGGACGAGGACTTGATGGGCACTCAGGCTTCTCAGGACTGGGGCCCGAGTTGGACAGCATAGGGCCTGGGTTGGCACTGTGGTGCTCTGAGGACTGGGAGTGGGTCAGGCAGAGATGAGCTCTGTATGTACTGGGGACCCGGGTGACTGGTCTGCTCAGAGCATGTAGCCTGGATCTCAAGGACCAGCGCAGCCACGTCCTGGTGCGATGGGCCTTCAGCCCACGAGGGATCAGCAGGTGCGATACTCAGGCAGCACCAGGCTGGGCAGGCTCGTTAGGGGCTGGGCAGGCTGGACTAGGGGTTGGGCAGGCTCGTTAGGGGCTGGGCAGGCTGGACTAGGGGCTGGGGCATTAACTGAGGGTCAGAACTTGCCCTGGAAACAAAACAGTATTGGAATTTCAGGTGGGTGGGGCTATTGCAGCTAGAAGTGGGCATCACCTGGGCTGAGACTGGCCCCATCCAGGGGGTGGAGTTCACCTCTTCAGCTCTAAAGAGGGGGTGTTTGTCGGAGCACACCTGAGCTCCTCACCACCATGTGCAGATGAGGAGGTGACTGTTCTCAGAGCCTAGGTGCTGCCCCAGGGCCTGACTGCTGTGCTTAGAGGGATGCAGGTTCTCCATTGTTCTGGCTCTTGGAGCTGGGCCGCTGCTTGTGTCTGTGGGATGTTCTCTGTTCTCCCGCAGAGCTCGGCCTATTCCTGTGCCGGCAGCCGGGGTGGGCTCCTTTCTGGGCTGTGCCGTTCTGAGCAGGTAGCCCTGGGGCCCCTGTTCCTGTGCCCAGGGCAGCGAGTGCGTTTCTGGACAACAAGCAGGTCTCCAGGGTCTCTCATAGAGGGATATTGACGTGCCCAAAGCAGGGGATTTTGTGCCTTTTAGGGGAGGAGCTGAGGCCAGGTCACATCCACATCTCGCCCTGGATGCTGTGTGTTCCATGTGGGCAGCCAGGTCTTGGACTCCCTCTTGGTTTGCAGAAGGCAGGTTCAGCTTCATCTCGGCTTGGGCACCCTTGCTGCCTGCTGCGCTTTTCCACATGCCCCCTGGGCCAGTCTCCTGAAAATGTGGTCCCTGTAAGGGTCTGAGAAGGCAGCTTGCAGGGCAACTTAACCCTGGACAGAGCAGGCGTGTGGAAGGACGCAGCTGCCCACCAGCACCTTCTGATCCTGGAAGTGTGGGGTCCTTGGTGGCCTCCTCAGTCTAGATGGAGTCCTAACAGTCACCCCCAGGGGATCCCATTGACCACAGAGGCCTGTGCTGAGGGCCCAGGCAATGCCAGGTGTGGTCGCTATGTGCTGATGGCCAGGAAGGATGACAGTGGTACCCCTCGGGATTCTTGGAGGTCATCTTCAGCCTCCAGGAGGGGCTGTGGCTGTGTCACAGGTTTTCAGGGTTTGTGGCTGGTAGTATTTATGTATGTATTTATTTATATATTTATGTACTTAGTTATTTATTCCCTGCCTCAGTCTGCACTAGGGCCAGCGGCAGGGGCTGGCCTTGTGTGTACCATGTGGACATTTAGTTGCTAGCTCCGTGGAAACACATCTTTAAGTAGGAACTGCTGATGTGAGAGATTGCTGTTCCTTTGTGGGACGACCGAAATGAAAGCTTAGTGCGGGAGGAGGAGGAGTGGCCCTCAGACTTGGGACCGTGCAGGTGAGACCAGCCGTAGGGCGGTGCTGTCCCCGCCGTGTGGCCTTAGTGCCGTAGGCTGCACTTCGTGTGGACGAGGTGCCCGCAGGCCTTCCTCCTGGGGGGTCATGTGTGGACATGGGGGGGGCATGAGGAAGCACCTTGTACACCAGTCCTTGCAGTCAGTGCTGTCCCCATCCTTGTGTGTACCTGGGTCTGTGCCAGTGGGCATCACATGGTTCTTAGCCCGGGGCTCAGACACACAGGGAGCCTCTCAGAAGAGAGGCCAGTTCTTCATGTGGTCACCGAGCTCTCTTTTTAAATCATGCAAGTGTCTAGTTATTTCACTTTATGTAAAAACCAAAGTGCCAAGTACATCATGCATTTATTTAGTGTCGGGAGTAATCTTTCCTCCGAAGGAAGATTCACTGTATTTCACATAAATGGTATTAAGCTAATTAAAACACCCCCACTTCAATTCTGTAGTAGTTTTAAGCCAAAGGAGATTGAGATGGAATATTATGATTTTCTGAAAACAAATCAGTGAAAAAAATGCTGGTTCTTGGGCCAGTGAAACTGGATCATTCATTTACCCAGCTCTTCACATGGTCACCCAGGTCTTTATGTGGTTATCTTAGTCTTCACGTGGTTACCCAGGTCTTCACATGGTCACCCAGTTCTTCACATGGTCACCCAGGTCTTCATATGGTCACCCAGCTCCTCACGTGGTCCCCTCAGTCATGGTCTGAGGTCCTGCCCTTCCTCGGACGGTGGTAAAGGGCTGTTTGTTACACAGAGGAGCTGAGGCTGGAGCATGGTGCTTGTTTCCCAGGCTGGTCTTGTTTGGGAAATAGGTGCCCACTGCCGTTGGTCAGTCCTGGAAGTTCTTTGTATGTCCCCAGGCTCTGACATCTGCCAGTGGGGAGCTGGGGGCCAAGCTGTAGTGTGTGTGCACTGTGCGGAAGGATTCTCCTTGGGTCACCGTGGAAGGCACCTCCTGGTCCAAGGACAGACTCAGGATCACTACAGGATGGGGGACCCCGAGTCCCAGCACTGACAAGATGCTCCTGTAGACCCCAGGCCACTGCTGGCACCTGGAGGCTACAGACCCTGCTGTGCTGACTTGCTGTGAGGTGACCAGCCCCTGGCCTCTGGAGTCTGGCTCTCCTGACTGGTGCCTTCCGCTCACCATCCTCCCTTCCTCCCCAGGCTGTTGCCCTTGTGGGATCAGAGGGCTGGAACAGAGGTGGCTGTGGGATGTGCAGATTTTGAGGTGCACAGTGATGGGCCCAGTCCAGGATGGGGAGATGGGGATACTGGCATAGACTGGTGACCTCCTGTTGCCTTAACTTGTATTTTCCAGTGTCTGGGGCATAAGGGGACCCTGTTTCCTGGGGTGTCCTGACCTCAGGGTCCCAGCTGTGTCACATCCTCCTGGTCAGGGCGTCTGGCTGGGGTGTGATGACAGTGGGCTCAGGCCCTGCTCTGTGTGCCAGCTGCTGAGGTGTACTTGTTGGGGACCTGGGGGCCTGAGGCTCCCTGCAGTCGGAGCCTGCGCACTGTGGCCAGCACTTCCTCCTCTGCTGTGATCTTGAAGGTGTGCTTGCTGCAGCGGCTGTGCCGGGTTGTCCTCGCCTGGACCTGCTCAGGACGCCCAGACAGTGAGGAACCCCTGATGTCTTGGTGCAGTGTGACTATTCTCAGTTCCCAAACATGCCTTATTTCTGGGGCTGCTTGTCTTAACAGCCTAGCA